TCAAACAGAGTTGAGGATGTAAATCATGCAACTGTCTTATTTTCTGTATTTCAGTGTGAGAATTTAAGACAATCATGGCTGACGAGTGAGTATTATCTTTTCATTATGTGTGCAGTGACAGCTTCAAATTATACTTCAAACAGCGTGTTGACATTCATTGTGTAAATATGTGTTCATGTATTTTCTCCCTCTTGTTAACGCTTCAACAGATCTGTAAGTATTTGTATTTAAATCCTGTTTTCAGGCCTATGTTTCGCTTTAAAAGTAAATAAATAAATATCATATATACCAATTTAACGTGGTTCACAACATGCTGTGTATTGAGGAAATTAAATCTTCTTGAATCAATTCTAGAAAAAATCCAAGATCTCCTCCTCTCGACGGCTGGGGTTGAAGGTAAGCTTTTCATAAATCGAGATGTTTTTTTAAACTATATTTAATAGTTTCAAAATGAACTCCTGATTAAAACAATGGTTGAGGATTCCTGCATTCATTTGGACATTTAGCAGATCTTCCTGCTCCAGCAGGTCCACAGATCGATTATTGACAGATTTCTTCCTTTAGATCAGACTGTTGGCTGTTGCAGCTCAGATGCTGCAGGAGGAGACGGAGCAGAGGATGAGGGAGAGAGAAGCTGCTCTGGCAGAAAAACTTCCTCCTCTGAATCTGGCTGGTCTGTCTTTGGAAGATCTGCAGGTATTCAACTTCAGTTTAAAATGCTTTGGTCCATTTGAGTCGTTTTCTCACTCCAGTATATTCTTTTATAGGAAGTGTGCAAAGACTTGTACCATAAGATTGATGTTGTGGACGAGGAGCGCTATGACATCGGCCTGAAGGTTTCCAAAAATGGCAAGGAGGTGAGACACGTCAAGGATGAATGGGAGGAGTCAGAGCTCCTTGTGGAAGGGTTTTTAACCTTAGTGCGTACAGCGCCCTCTATGTGAGGACAAGGTCACTGCATGAAGGATCTAAAAACGATCAGATACTGCCCCCCAGTGGCAGCTCTGAGAACCCCAACACATGACAGAATCTTATTCATGAGGCCTGCTCCTCTTCTTCTAAAATAAAAAAAATGAACTAACGTGTTCGTTCCACATTATTAACAGTAAGTTTGTGACTTTACTTATACTTCAAGACATTATTCAACCAGCTTATACAACTGGGCAGTAAATTAAATTACATCACTGATATTAATGAAATACAACCCCCCACAGAGTTATATTATATATTAGAGTTAAATCAAGTATACATTGGGCGAAGATTTGCAAATCACAGCTATTAATCAAACACAGAGTTGAAAAACCATTGGGTCCTAACCAGTGGTGAATACATAACGAGTGCTAATTAAATTTTTCCTTGACGTTTTATTTATTCATTTTTGCTAAATGTTATATTATGGAAATATGTTTTTGGAACATCAACGTATTCCAGACAGAGTTTCTATCACTTTAGTTAAATCAGCACTAAAGAGATATAGAGGAAGGCACCAGCATTTACAGTTGTTCCCTTCACCGTAACCTTTTAGAAGAGGTCAGAATATCCAACAGCATCTGAATTTTTTTTTCGATTTAATTAGATTTTAAAATATGTTGGGTAAATTCCATTTAAAGGCACAGTGTGTACAATTGTCATATCTAGTGTTGACGTTGCACGTTGCTGCTGAACACCCCTCACCTCACCCTCTCCTTCCAAACATGAAAGAAAACCTGTGGTAGCTTCAGTTGTCATAAAAACTCAAAAGGTGTTTAGTTTGTCCAGTCTGGACTAATGTAAAAAACATGGAGGCCTCTGTAGAGAGGTTCCCCTCCATGTAAATATAAAGTATTTAAATATAAAGGGACTTTTCTGGGGTAAAGAAAACTACAATTCATACAATTTAAATGAAATAATTTAGGTAAAACATCATGAGGATTATTCTACATTAAATTTTGCCAATAGTTCTCTTTCACCTAAATCATACACACTGGAGCTTTAATGAGGGAAACTGTGGGGTTTTTTTTCCAATTAAGTTTCAATGGTCAGCTCTTGATTTAGGATTACAAGCAGATGATGAACATTGATAACACATTGATAAATCCCAGTTTTATAAATCTATATATAGCTGGAGGATGGGTGAATTTATATTCATCGATCCCAGCTAGTGTCATATACAGTATAACCAACTGACTTGGTTAGAAGAGTAACAGCACAAGCCTGTATATCTCACAACCCTGTGCCTAGATTGAAAACATGAACCTGAAGATCACTGAGATCCAGAGTAAGTTTAAGAAGCCGACCCTGAAGAGAGTGAAGATCTCGGCTGAGGCCATGCTGAGCGTCCTGCTGGGCTCCAAACACAAAGAGTCCATTGACTTCAAGGCCAACCTCAAAACAGTCAAGAAAGAGGAGGAAAAGGTGAGTCTGGCTTTTGCTTTTGCTTCTCAAAAACCCAGAGTGGTTCTAATTTGACTGGTCGTCCATGATATGTTGTGTTTTCTACAGAAAGAGGAAGTGACTGACTGGCGTAAGAACGTGGAGGCCATGTCGGGTATGGAGGGCCGGAAGAAGCTGTTTAATGCCTCTGGAAACTAAAGAAACAATTATTTTCCAGTATTTAAATCATTTCCTAATTTATCATTACTTAACTTCCATTTTTCAAGAACAAAAAAACTAATTTCAGTTGGGATCTTCTCTTGGTTGCATGTAATGTGGACGACCATGTAAAGAACACGATATATGGAACATCCTGGAGGGAATACATAACTTTGAAGATCCTCTAAGATGCAACAATTAGTGGAGTTAACTATAAATACCTCAAATAACTGTTTGGAGAGCATGAAATACTTTGACAAGGGAAGCTCATCAATCTTCAGTGTCAGTTCTCAGTTCAACTGGTGTCCACTGTGAAGGGAAC